TTAAAGTGCAGGGATGCTTTTAGGAATGAAGCTGAGCAGGGAGGAAGCCAGCTGCCCACTGTGAGCTTGGGGCTGTCTGCTCTGCTGCCTTTGCCCTGCGAGCCATGCGCTGGCTACATGTCACCTGCCTGGCAGCAGTGGGGGTGGCACATTGTGCCTCCCACTACTGGGTGGAACAAAAGCAGCAGGGCAGAGTGCCTCCACCCTTACCCCATTCACAAATCTGGGGAGTACATGCCTCATCTCATGCCTCCTCCAGGGGTGCATGCAGCAGTGGAGAGCTGCCCTGCCCCAGTCAGGAACCACCCTGCTCCCTGCCCCAGGGTCCCTTTCACCACCCTGGCTGGGCAGCACTCCCAGCCCCTGCCCCAATTCCTCGCTCACCATGGGGGCCTCAATCTGCAACCCCCTCCCCTTGCCCTTTCCCTCCCTCACACCCCTTCCCCTCCACAGAAATACCTGTGGGGCACTGCTCTCCACGTTGCCTGGCTACACTCCTGGCCACATGCATGCTGCTGCTGCGCACATGCACATGGCATCTGGCATCCAAAAAAAGCTGATAGCCAGTAACATTAATGTTCTTTTTATTGGTGCCAAACCAATATGGCACTGATATTTTGGTGCAGCTCTAGTTGCTTGGTTTGTAATTGAAAGCATTTTGTCACCAGTTCCACTTTGCTTTTACTCAGTACTTCAGTAAAATGAAATGTCTACAAAGGGAGGTGGTCAGTCTGGGGGAAAAAAAAAAGAAAAATCAGACTAGGTTGCTGAGAGAGTAGTGTGCTGTGATGCAGTACACCCAAGCCCTTGGGCAGATATAACATTTGAAGTGCTTCAGAGTACAAGTAGACAAACACGCATGCTATGAAGCACTCCAAAAATGTCTGGAGTTCTCCAAAAATAACTCTGGAAGAAATAGCAACTTTAATAAAGGGTTTCAATGTGAAGTGCTTTGTGTTATATGTGCATGTGGTGTGGAGTGATGAGGCTGCTCAGTCCTCCTCTCTCTCCACTCATTCCATGTCCACGTGGTGGAGGAGCAGAGCTGCAGACCTGAGCAAGACCCTATCCTTCATCCAGCTGGAGAGTGTGCTACTGTATGCAGTCTCAGGGATTTTTGAAGCAGTCCAGCCAGGAGTCAGGCAAGGGCTGTGTGTCTTTCCATGCCTGAAATGTTTCAAAAGTTGCATGCATCTGTCACTGCAGGACAGATCCCGCATTGCCAGACCTCCAAAGGGCGTGCATATTATACACAAAGGCCATTTTATGATTTGGGTGTTAGAAAACACATGTACTCCAAGCCCCCCCCTGCAATGCTAAGGTTTGAAGGATTGACATTATTTGATGCAATTTTTTTCCACAATTAATCTCTTTCCTCTCCCTCTCCCTCCCCAGTATCCACAATAGGATTTGGATTTGTGCTGGACATGGGATTTTTTGAAACGATAAAGCTACTCCTCTGGGTTGTGTTCATAGACTGTGTAGGAGTTGGCCTCCTAATAGCAACTCTAATGTGGTAAGTAAATCTGTTTGAAAAACTGTTTTTGTAGTGTTTTTTTTTTTTAGGAGAAAATTGTAACCAAATAGGTAACTGTCTCTAATGCAACTTTGCTCACAATAAAGGGGTAAGAATTTGTTTACCCTTAATTATTGTGCTGTTATTGTGGAAATGAATTATTCATATCCCAGTCAAAAAGAGAAGAAAATTGTCCTATTTCTCTTGATTTATTCCTGCAGGAAAAAAGAGATTATTGCAGAAGTTTATTTGCAGATACATCTGGCAGATACCTGTGTCCCAGCCTCCTAGCAGGATGTCCAGTGGGAGTATGACTGCAAATATTTTGTGAAAAAATGACATCCTCATTTTAGAGAGAAGCAGCAAAAAAATCACTTTCTGTTGTATAAACCCCTCAGTTTCAGTTTTTTCAATAACAGTTCTATATATAGGAATCAAGACATCTTTATATTCCCTATTTGGACTTGTATACATGTAAATATCTGATTTATTATATTTCATGTGCTCTATTCAGTGGAATACTGTAAAGGCATATTATGCCTTTCTGAAGAATTTTAGCTGCCATAATTACAAGTGGCACTGGAGCCAACCATAACAGTATGCATTTGCCAGCTTCAATGCTTTGGTGGCCACTATAATGTTTTAGAAAGGGCCCCTAGTCACTTGGAGAGGAGCCTTCTTAGAAACATTTCTCTTCTGCTTATGCTTACAGCATTTTCTTTGTATGTTAACAAAACCAATTTTCATTTATTTTAGGTGTAGAAACTATGCAAAACACACTTCAAAGGATTTCAGTTACTAATTTAATAGGGACAACTTATATTTGATGCTATACTTCTGTCAAGTAGTTCGTGTTTCCTAATATTTCTTCCAAATATATTTTCAATTAGGTTTATTTCCAATAAATACTTGGTGAAGCGACAGAGCAGAGACTGTGATGTGGAGTGGGGCTATGCTTTTGATGTTCATCTGAATGCTTTCTATCCACTCCTAGTCATTTTGCATTTTATCCAGTTGTTTTTCATCAATTGTAAGTAGAACACTTTTTAATGCTTTTTGCCACAGAGTTGACTATCACGTAACTAACTGTGAGCAACTCTCTCTTTCAGATGTTATTATATCAAACTCTTTCATTGGATATTTTGTTGGGAACACGTTATGGTTGATTGCAATTGGCTATTATATCTATGTAACATTCCTAGGATATAGTGGTAAGTAATAACAAAAGCTTCTTTACAAGGTAGCTCACTCTTCTGTCAGTGGTTTAGTGGACCAAACACATTTGGGGTTGGTGTAATAATCTCTCCACTCTTGGGGGGAGAAAAAAAAATCAGGAGATGCTTATTTTTAACCTATCCCTCATAAATGGGTGTCTTTAAACATCTAATAAAGAATATCTTGCATTCAAAAGCTTGTAACTATCCCAACTACACAGTCGGTCCAATAAAAGATAGCACCATAAGAAATCCTGGCCTCTTGCATAATTTCTGGACCATCATGACTACAATATCACTCTTGCACTACTTTAAAAATATCTTCATTTAGATAATAATTTACCAATGAGTGATTTTACTTTTGTTCTGTTAATTTTTTTTTTTAACTTGTCAACTTTTTTTTCCTAATTCCTATTTCAGCTGGCTGGCATCCTTACTGGCTGGAGTAACCACCTTAAGTCAAGTGTTTTGTACTCCCCGGTCTTTATATACAATCTGTGTTGAAAGCTCATGCCAAAAGCACATGTATCCCTTTATGGTGATGTTTAAGCAATGTCATCTCTACACATCTTGCCCATCTTTATACACAGTATTTCTTGATGTACTTAATGCAGTTAATATGCAGCACTTACCATATTTGTTTTGAACTCCGTAATTAGGGTAGTGTGGGAAACCCAAAATCATTCTTCAGCAGATCAGCTGTAGTAAGAAACCTCTGTTTTTTGGAAACTAAACCATGGTTGGGCAAATTGCTGCAGAATTAGCATTGCAGGGAGGACAAACAAAATGCAGCTGTATTCCGGCTTGTAAAGAAAATTAGCATGATCCTATATTGTTGCCTGTCATAAGGAGCTGCTCTGACTGCAAAGCTCCTGATCCTGCCATGTCGGTACAAGAAGCTGTTGTATGGTTCTGACTTGAATCAAAACACTGTCATTTCTTTTCCAGCACTGCCATTTTTGAAGAACACAGTTATCCTTTTATATCCATTTGCACTTCTCATCCTGCTCTATGTGCTCTCCTTAGCATTGGGATGGAACTTCACCAAGACACTTTGTTCTTTCTACAAGTACAGAGTGAAATAAAAACAGGACTTTGTCTGCTGTGTAGTCAGTCTTAATCTTGGCTGTCTTGACAGGAAAAAGTTAAGACTTTTTTTTGTAAATGGTTGTAAATTTCTCTTTATTGTAGATAATTGTGTAAAAAAACAATGTGTCAATTTTTAATAAGATTAAAATATTTACAACAGTAAATATAATCTCAGTACATTCCTAAAGATAGGCTAGCACACTTCTGTACTTTAAATTAGTGTAACATGCTATTAGCATAATTTGTGCTCCTAATATGTTAGACATAAAACACTGCAGTGCATATAACACTCTTCTCTTTTTAATTAAGAACTCCAGAACAGATTGGATTTTTTTTAAGTCTTTATTTCAAATATACACTGACAGCTATGGCACATAGAATAAACATTGATGAAAGGCACAGTTAACATGACGTATACCAAGTTTTCAAATATAGCAGCAAGTTTTAAATCCAGTCCATAAATATCCAATAGTTGTGTCAACTGCCATGGGGCTGGTTAATAAAAAGTGGAGCGAGAGAATGGGGGGTGGGAAGGGAGGCAACACAGAAAATAAAAGTTTGGCTAGAAAAGGCTGTGGCAGGACTTATGATCTGTAGATTACATAAGGCAGGAGTACAAACTGACCTCCACAAACAATACCTTCTGAAAAATGACAATGGCAACTTTTGAAAAGCAGTGCTCAGTATGAAACTCAAGCACTAAGTTTTAGTTTCAAAAACGATTTTCTAACAGCAAACCTGTTACAATGACTTAAATATTTTGATTACTAAAATTCAATCATGGAAAGCTGTTTTGTTTAAAATACCAGATCTGTTGGCAGTGCATCTTACAGTACATCAGCCACTATTAAGGCCTGAAGAGCACGTATTCAGATCTGAGCAAACAATTGACCAATGAAACATTTCAACAATTAAAGCAGTAAACCACCAATTTTAGAAAGCCTAAGAATTCTTATTGTGACCTGCTATGCAACGCATAACAATAGCAGCTCCTGCCCTGCAGGCAGCTACCAAGAAACATAATCCTTACTTAATAGGAATTCTAGCACCAGTAATAATTAAGCTATCACTTAAGTGCAGAATACCATTACTCTTGTATTTAAGGTTTGATGCTGCACCACTGAGGAAAATGGAAATAGGATCTGGACACAAGTGCTTTTCCTTTACTGATATTTAAAGTTTGTCCACTTAGAGCAGTGCTTCTCAATTCTTTTCTCAGCATGACCCCATTTATGGTCCCATTTCTTCAGCATGATCCCTCCCAACCCACAGCTGCCCACCCACAAAACCCCATCTGCTGATGTTGCAACCCCATTTGGGTTCATGACCCACAGTTTCGGAATCAGTGACTTAGAGCAAGGCTTTACAGTTCTCTAGGTCAATGTGTACAGTAAAAATTACAAAAACTCAATACTGAGGTAAAAAACAACATGTTCTGTGGCTAACTCTTAAGTGTCAATATTTCCAACAAAAATTTAACTCCCTTCAAATGCAAGAACATAGTTGTATGACAGCTTTTATGCCTTTATGTAAATGTAAATTAAAGTACATATATTAAAAATAAGTGTAGTTCTTGCTTTAGCTAACTTCAAAATACCTCTGTTCTTATTTAAGCAAGATAAAACATAAGCACACAATGTCTTTCGTGGAAATAAAGGCTTCTAGAATTAATTTCTTATTTCCATTTCTAGCTGAAAGTAGCATCTGCATTAAAAACACGAGCTGCATACCTTTTTTTTTTTTGAAGTGCATATCTCAGACAAAGGAGGAAATACTGAATTGATTTATGGTAACAAAGAAGGGGGAAAATACCAAATAGTCTTAATCTTGCTAAAAGACTAAACATGATCTCTCAACACATTTAATGGAGGAAACTTGGTATACAATTAAACTAATAACGGTGACAGTACACATTTAGGTTAAATCTAGCCAACATCTTACCTAAAAATAAATTTTATAAAGGCTGGAAATGCAAGTTACATGATAAGGGAAGAAGAAGGGGGGTTGTTTTTTTTAATTGGTCCACAGTTAAGCTATCTGTCTTGAATTTTGCCAAGCCACCTTCATGAGGGCAGGAAAAAAACCTAAGTATTTAATAAATGTAATTGAAAATAAAAACTAGATGTGTTTTAGGTCCCCTAGAGGAACATAAAACCTGTAGTGTTTTCCAGAAATGTCCCTTTCTAATCCAAGGGGTGCTGATTGCTTTACTTGCATAAGCAGTTTTCAGTTGTACTTACCGACTTAAGCCAAGCAGGGTTGAGCTATAAATGGGCAAAGCTGGCAATTGCTCTGGGGCAGGGAGCCATTTCCAGTTCATAAAAAGCTAGTATTTTAAGAAAAATGGTGCTTGGCCTCAAATATGAGAATTTAGAATCTATCAGAAAATAAAGGTTTCTGGGAATGCTAGCTGTTGCAAACAAGTCAACTTTTGCTGGGCGATAGCCACTTCAGATGTGGCTAATACAATTTTATTAGAAAGTTAAATAAGGCTACTGCAGGTTTTATTGCCCTACATAGGGGTAATTAAGGCTGAATTAAAGTTCATTTACAATTAAATGTAGAAAAAAATCCTAGTGATGTAAGAAGCTCTACTCACTCTAAGACATTGGAATCACAGAAAAGTAGGGCTGGAAGCGACCTCACGAGGTCATCTAGTCCAGCCGCCTGCTCAAGGCAGAGGCGTCCCTGACTAACCCATCCCAGCCAAGCGTCTGTCCAACCTGCTCTTGAAAACTGCCAAGGATGGAGATTCCAAACCTTCTCTAGGTAGCCTGTTCCAATGTTTTTACCACTTTCATGGTCAGGAAGTTCCTCCTAACCTGCAACCTAAATTTACCCTGTTGCAGCTTGAGGCCATTGTTCCTAGTCCTGTCCTCCATGGACATAGAGAAAAGGCCATCTCCATCCTTTCTGTAATTGTCCTTAGGGTATCTGAAGACTGTTATCAAGTCTCCCTCCCCTCAGTCTTCTCTTTTTCAGGCTAAATAACCCTAGTTTTTCAAACATGCCTCATAAGTCTTGCCTCCCAGGCCCCTGTTCATTTTTGTTGCTCTGCTTTGGACTCTTTCCAAACTGTCCACATCCTTTTTGAAGCATGGGGCCCAGAACTGGACACTACTCCAGGTGAGGCCTCACCACTGCTAAATGTTTAACTGTGTTTAATACAATAATTTGTAGTATACCTAGAGTGTCTATTAACTACATCACTGGGGGCTGCAGTACACAAACTGACTAGTGTCCAGCAATATTTAAGCATTCATTTACGATAACTAAGGAAGGTTACAGACACTTCATATTTACTACATAGTAAACCAATTTTACTAAACAATAAAAGTGGAGCAGACGTATGATGCACAGCCCCACTCTAGCAAATCATCTTCAAAACTGCATAGTAAAGACATTTCCTACATGATCAAGTTACAAAATTACAACATGCGGCTAGTGGGAATGTGTCTTGCTCCCACAGTTGGTTTCATACAGGGGTAACTATTTGCTCAATGTGAAACAGTTCCCCTGTTACCTTGTGCCAAAGCACTGCAACAGCACCTACTGTAAGCAATGAGCTTCAGACAGCTGGGTGTATGTCCTCTCCTTTTTATGGAGTAAAATCCATACATATACACTGTAATAATCCTGTGGTGTGCCTCCAGCCTCACTCTCCAGAAAGGATATCCAACCACTTTGGCCACATTTGGCAATACTGAATTTAGGAAAGTTTAAGAGTCTAAGGTGGTGGACAGACATTACATTTGAAGCACTGCAGCGTGCTGAAGATGTGCTACAAAAAACACTACTGGTGCAGACAGATATGCAAAGCCCTCTGACTGAACCAGTACAGAGTTGCCCTTAACGCATTCAGTAGCGTGTATGGAGGGGTGGGGGACAGACATGACATGAAGAATTGTTCAACCCTGTTAATCTGCTTCCATGCTGCTCTCCTCCACCAGGGGAGGGGAGCATGTCTACAAGCATGGTGCATCTTTGGGAGTCTCCCTTATGGAGTGGGGAATGGACAGGCTGTCAGTGATTGGGGGACCACAATGGTCTCCCAGGGCTGCCATCCCATTGGGAAAGTAGAAGACCAGAGCACTCAGGGACTCCATGCTACTCTCTATCTTTCCCCACCTTGGAAGGGGGAGGAATGAAGGGGCAAGGAAAGAGCGGAGCACTGTGGGATGCTGGGGAACCAAGAGACCCCTCTGTGGCGCTACAGTGCACTGTACCAACATTATATGTAGTGCTACTGGCAAGTTCCTCTTTCATCCAAGAACACGTTCTTGGTGTTTTTGCCATTTCTGTCGCATTGCAGAGGATGTGCACATTGGTCCTCTCAACTTCTGTAGCACTACAAAAGGATTTGTAGCACTACACATAACATCTGTCCACAGCCTAAAATAATGGTCTGAAGAAGATTTATTTTCTTTATACATAAGTCTAACCTTTCTCCATCCACACCCTCTACTGACTGAAAGAACATATCCTGAGGATGTCAAGCGAACTGTGCCTAACTATATCAGGTCTGAAATAGACTTTGATTCTATAAAACCTATCCTCCCAGAAAGGGATACAAGAATTAATTTGTGCTGCCGGGGCACATTTGTTTATCAAGAGCGTAACCTCAAGAATTTTTTTAATATGGCAGCAGCCTGGGGTGTTTCTGGCTTCTGCTAGTAAGAAGCAACAAAATAATATGCATTAATCTTAAAAAAAAAAAAAACCCAGCATAATTTGAAAGTAATTGTCAATTTTCAGATAAATGCTATTGTGTGTTAGAAAAAATAGAGTAAAGCTAGCAAAACAATACTGACAACACAAAAGTATCATGATCAGTTTTGGGTACACTTCTTTACATTTAGAAATATCATTAGGAATTTATCTTACATGTTTAACATTCGGACCAGCTAGACAATGAATAAGCTATTATAAAAGAGTACTCTCAGAAAGGTACCTAGCAGTGGTACCAAAATACTTGATAATAAATCATTTTTACAATATGGAACAACTACCATTTTTGGCAACAAAAAGTGCATCACATGTTCACAAATACAAACATCTGACTAAAAGTTGTAATATAAAAGTTAATAAATAGCAATATATTAAAGTGCCTGCATTTTTGCAGACACAACTGGGAAAATAAGCTCAAATAGATTCTTAGACCTTTGCTTAGATTTAGATTCACCAACCCTGTTCAATAGTATTGTATGTTAACTGTCCCAGAGCAGCACAAAGGGCTAGATCCACAAGCAAATGGAGATGCCCAACCACCACCAGAAGTGCTTTGCTTGACCTTTAGGCATAAATGAACTCTTCAAAACTCATGTTCAGCTCTCGCTTAATCTTGGACATGCCCAAAATTTCTAGACACCAAAGAGTCTGCCAATGGGTATACACAAAACTGCTCAACTCCTGAAATTGTTTAGTTTCTTAATGTCTTAAGCCCCAACAGGATTCGCAAACAAGGGCAGAGAGAGGGAAAAATGAGACTTATATAACAGCCTGGTGCTTAAGGCACTCATCTGCAATGTGGGGGTTGGGTTCAAGCCCCTGCTCCAGCGTATGCTTAATTCAGACTCAAAGAGAAGAGATTCGATTTAAAAAAAACAAACAAACTAATCCAGTGGTCTGGCACTGCCCTTGGAACATGGGGTCCTGGAATAAAATTTCAGTTCCTGATGAAGCACACTGGAAACTAGAAAACAGGTGTTCTGTCCTACTCACTGGACTATTGGCTTACTGAGGTCTCTTTCACTTTCCATTCTTCCCAAAAACAACGCTCCTTTTGGTTCAGGCACTAACTGCAGGAGGCAGTTCACAATCCTGAGCAGAACTAATCACCTTTCTGTGACTGAAGTGAGGTATCTAATTCCCACTGAGGATGGAGCTCATGCCCCACTCCTCACTTCAGCATTTCATACTACCAGTGTAGTTGGTTTAGCACCATTTGCTGGCTTCTGTGAATCCTGTCCTTAGGTACCCAATGCTCCTTTCAACAGGGAAATAAGAGTTCAAGTCCATACTGCAGCGGTAGTGTCCTGGCTTGGACGTTCCTAAGCATGTCCTCCCCACCCGTTCTTGTACATGCCCATGCACTCCAAACTCAGAAATACGTTGGTGAGGCCAATCCAGGGTCATCTCTGGAAGCTGCTGTCATGCACAGTGGAGATGGAGGTCTCAAAAGTCGCCATGCAAAGGATAAATAGGAGTGGATTTACAGATCATGTCTGGGAAGTTCCAGCCAGGACATGCTGCTTCTGCAGCATTGACATACCACTGGGGCCTACTTTAGGGTTGTGAATGCCAGTAGGCAGCAGGTCATCTATTAGTTAAGCTTGCACATGCAAGCCCTAGAACTTCTCAGTTCTCTTGTAGATGTAGTAACAACTGCTTCAGCTGTCTGCCTGGGTTACTGGCCAGGTAATCACTGTTCTTTACCTCAAAGTGCAAACAAGTAGGCTACTGATCTAGGGCCAGATTCAATGAAGACATTACATTGGACCCCTCTGCGAGAGAAACAAAAATTATAATCAACATAACAATTAGCTAAAGTCAATACTGCACTAAAAGCATTTTTAGGAGGGAACTTAAGTGAGGTTAATATGTCTAATTACTACTTTTTCCTGATAAAAAGGTAATGTAATTCTAATGCAAAGCTGGGGAATGCACTGTTCATTCTAAGAGCTGGACAAAGTTGTTTTTTTTTTTAAAGGATAGCTTGACATTAAAATTGCCTTCTAGAATGTTATGAATTCATTCTAAAAATCACTTCAGATTTAGTACATAATATGAAATATTGGGATACTTCAACATGCCTTTATGTGGATGCACTGTCAAACACAGCAGCCGTCAACAGAAATGTTCTTCAAAGCTCTGTTCAGGCCTTTGAACAATATTTTTCAGATTCCGTGTACAAAACTACTTAACGTAATTTTCTTAACCACGGCAGTGTATTTGAAATATGGTATTAGTTTGTTATGTTTGCATCTCCAAAGCAAAATATAGAAAGATAACTTAAGCAGCTAGATAATCCTTTAAAAAAACCCATATCAATTTAAAATTTTACTGCATAAAAATATGTACTTTTCAAATTATTTTAATAAATTAAATATCCCTAACATTTTTATATATCTCCCTGATAGTCTATAAAAGAGGGTTTTGTTATAGCAAAATAAATGGAACTCCGAAAGTACCCCCTTCACAAAATGCATTTAACAATAATTATAGTTTTTCATTTTCAAGGAATGTAACAATATGTACAACGTCTCTGTGTTACTATACCATCAAAATAGTACAGGTTAGGAGTAGCACACTTCCGCAACCATAAGATGGTAAAGTCACGTTGAAATGGAGGACAATTTAGACTTCATGAATATTAACAGTATGGAGCATCAGTTTCTGGATGGATCTGACAAGATGGGTTAATTACAATCTTCTCATCTACAGTAGATTTCACAAGAGGTAGAGTTTGAGTGAGAAATCAGAAAGACTTGAATAAGGTGCATGCTTAGTACTTTCAATCTGTGACTTGTTAAAGATGTAGGATTTATTAGGAAAAGTCTGCAATCTCCAAAGAGATGTTGATCAGTTTGTGACCTTTTTAATATGGATCTGAAATACAAAAATTAAAAAAAAAAAAAATCACATTTTAAGGAAAACAGCTGTAAGTTTTAAGACTCTACAACAAACCTTAAGCCAGAATTCTTTTCAAATTTGTTGGAAAAACTAAGACAGTTCACATTTAGTATGCTGATTTTGCAAGGACTATAGCATGCAACATCTCACCTCATTCAGAATTGCCCAAACTGCCGAGTTTTGGATTACTGAAAGTCGGAATGCTGAAATTGGGTTTAGACTTGGGTCAACTGTACCTTCTGCTATGCCGCTTTCAAATTTACCTTCAAAATGAACAAAAGCATATCTGAATAAACATTCACTGCACCAAGTGACACACAAGATCTGGTTAATAGGAAGGTTTCTAATCAATGCATTTGTTCAATAAATGCATTCACAACATCGCGATTATGATCATATCTTAGAACTGATACAAGGAGGTGGGAACCTGTGCTAACCCAAAGCATGAGATTTCCACAGTGTGCTCCCAGTCCTCATCTTCAACTTTGCTTTGACTAACACATCAGGACAAAGTCTCAGCACATGCACTGGGCATAACTGGCACTAATAAAGAGTAAATATGTTTGAATATAGCCATAGGTATTTTACATTTCCAAAAACCAGGCCACTTTTATTCATCTTATTTAGACTTAGCTGTCTAATTTTATGCATCCAAGTTTGAAAACCTTAGCATAATGTATTCAGGCTGCATTAAAATGACTGAGTTGTTGTTCCCACCTAAGGGAGCTTCAGTTATATTAAGATACACAAGTACAATGTCACAAAGGCTAGCAGGAAGCCAAAGCTCAAATGAATACGTTTTAACTATAATTCTTTAATAAATACTTATCAGTGTTGATTTCACTATAACCAAAAACAAACTAAAACTGATGTACTAAACAAACAGTAAAAAATAGAGCCTACATGATCATGTATCCAAGGCAAATTATCAGGATCATACAAAGGCTTTTTTTTTTTTAATAACATCTTCCTAAAATATTGCAGTAATAAAACAACTCTGTTTCTATGTACATAGAAGAATAAACACTGCTGTTGTACAGTATTGAGTTTTACCTATCCTAAAATAGCCATCCTCTAAGCGTTTGTCTTTGGTTTCTTTGGTTACTACAAAGTCTTCATTCTAAAATAAAAGACAAAAAATATAAAATGAGCTCATCTACTTTCCATGTACTTAGTATTTTGCAAGCTAGAACAAAATATGAATGCCCTTGTTCAATATTCAAAATACAACTTTCCTAAAAACTTTGGATTTGTCTATTTCCATGAGCAAAGAAAAGCTATTAATAGATTTTAAAAAAGACAGAAAATGAAGAAACAAAGGTACAATTGCTCTGGAGCTAAACTATATTTGGCTTCAAAATGGGAAATAAGACATACTTGGCAAAAGACCCTCACATAAGTTACTCAAAGGCTGAAATAAAGATATTGCAGATGCTGGTGCACATAGCATAAAAGACGCACTATAGTAAATCCTGAGTTCAGTACCATAGCTCAACCATGGAAAGAAAGACTTGGAAGCCCCTTTCCCACTCACATTTCAGCAAGTGGCTGGCAGGACTTTTCCCCTAGAAAGACCAAATGCTAGATAATCTACCTGTAGTATATATATTTTAAAAAATTGTACACCTGCTGATTTGTCCTTGAGTCCATAAGACTATCAGAGATCACAGGCCTACAATAGGTTTTCTTATTGTTTAAGACAGTCGGGGCAGATCATTATTCATCATTACTCCAGTGGAATTGCATATCTGCCTACAAACTATTTCCAAGGCTGAAACAACTCATTTTTTTAATGTTGGAACAACAATCAAGTTTCATAGAGTAAACCTGTATGCAGAGCTAAGTAGAACATCTGTCACCCTACAACATTTTCTCATTTCTAGCTAAGAGACAAGTCAGAACAGTGAGACAGCAATCGCTTGGTATCTCTCCTATCCAGACTTACTATTTATGAATGGCAAGCCCCAACCTTTTGCAAGTCACAAATGCGACGCTCTACAAACTGAAGTGTTTCTACTTTAAGGCATTATTAGAGTACTGGAGGAAGGGTACTGGATATGGCAAGGAACATATGGCCAAGGCCTGTGCTACACTTCTGGGCTGCCTATAGATGTGCTGGTTCATGTTCTAATTAGAATGCTCTAGCATCGCCTCAGCGTCACATGTTTTAACCCCCACTGCATTTCAAAATGACCACAGGGGTGCTTTAACTAAAGCTTGTTGAATGAGTTTTAAAGCATCCCATGGCCATTTTGAAAAGAGGTGAGGAGGCTTAATGCATGTGACAGTGAGCCATTTTAATTAGAGTGGCTCTCTGGAAACCACTCTAATTAAAACAGCTTCCTCCCAACTCTGAGCACATGTATAAGTAGCCCTAGCGAATCATGAATGCTTAACTGCCTAACTAGGTTAATTCCTAGCACATCTCTTGATAGGATAAGCAATTTCTCAGCTGAGAGAGTAAAAAATATTTAGGTATAAAACACTAACTTTTCTGTTGGTATTGAGCCTCTACTTTGTAAGCTTCTTCAATGCAAGATCTGAGCCATTTATTAAATACAGTTTTGGATGCTTTATTACTCTTGTTGCTGGCTGATGCAAAGAAATTGGACTGGATGACTTTTTATATACATTTTCATTTCTGCCAGCTAGATCTTAATACTTGATGGTCATCTAATTTTATCTAATTTATGCTGGAGTTTATATGTTAGATGCTTAGGCTTTTGCAAAGCACTCACCTGGATTCTGTGAAATTCCTACTTAGCTTTTGGCGTACATTTTGGCCAAGATGAAAAACCATTTTATGTGGAAAATGCAAGTACTGTCATTCTTCATGGCCCCACTATGGATGCTGTCTATGCAGCAGTGATGAACGTCAGTGATCTCACTTTAATAGACATAAATTAAACCGAAGAAAGGAGTCTGAACAATAATCTGGTAATTACATCCAGAAACAGATGAGCCCAGTCTGAAAGTGCTACATTCTAGAGATTTTCTGGGGATTAATAACAACAACAACAACAATAAAAAAAGTTTGACTTATGGGGGAAAGGAAACCTAACAATGTTTGTTCTTTCTATTCCTAAACAGACTGCTAAGGAAGTATTTTTGGAGTATACTGCACTAAACCCAAGAACCTATACAACCTGCAGGTATTCTGAAGCTTGAAGGATGTTTGTTAAATTCAACTGGTTGGTTCTGCCCTACATCAGCTACTGAATTTGGACTCAGCCCTAATGCTGGCTGTGGTGTACAGGAGTCCTAATCAGAATTGAACCTGTTGCTATCTCACTTCTGTTTGTTGCTGATGTCACTGGGTTGGAGATGTGCCTAATGCAGAGCTGAAGCTTTTGTCTTCCTGAGGTCTGCAACCCTACACTGATACCTGGGGAAGCTGGACGTTTTATTAACTTGAGAGCTGCTCCCATGGGTGGCAAGCTTGGAACCAGATGAAAGAGCAAAGACTGCTCATGAGTATAGAGGCAGAAGTCTCACAGCTGGGCAAAGCCAGAGGACAGATTGTCATAAGACACATTCATTTGTTGAAGACTGCTTCTTGGGTCTTCCCTCCATAACTAGAGTTTGGGAGGGGAGGCGTGGGCATGGAGGAGGGATGGCTGCTACAGGTTATTGAACAGACTAATCCAAAGCCCAGTGAAACAAAACCTCCAAGCATTATCATGAAACAATGATGGAGTATGATATTCAGTACCAAACTGGCAATTTTAAATAGTCTTTTTTTTCCTATGCTCTGTATTTTCAGAAGCAGGAAATATGGAAATTTCCTGATTTTATCACCAAGAGACAGAAGTCCCTGGCAGATGTTATGTTTATCCTGTGATTGACATGTCAATTACATAATAAATTACAATCTGACACATATTCAACTACTTTATCAACAATAAAGATGGCAAACCTGTCAATTACATGATAAACTATAATCTGGAAAATGTTTAACTGCTTTATCACACAATAAAAATGTCAAACCATCCACATTTAAATGTGGAACAACTTTGTGGCAGGTTTACATTACACTACCTTGAACATTTGACATCTTAAAGATGCACCAGGCATTTAGTGTCAGGCTCCACAATGCGGCTTGCTAGTGCATGGGAACCTTTACAGCTGTGCCATGCAGCCTAGCACTGGTCTGTATGGCATGGCCTTTAAAGGTCTGGGTATGCAATGGGATCAGAAGAATTGTATTTCAGATCCCCAAAATAACACACCCTGCTGACAGATCCTGACTATCAGGCATGGAAGGACACACAATTTTTACAATCTGAGATAAAACACCTCAGATCCCATCATGATTTTAAAATTAAATATCTGCTAGAATGAAATAACATTTTCCTGTAGGGGGAACCAGCTGCAACCAAATAGCAACAACATTGGCTCCTTAAGAGCAGATCAGAGAAGAGGGAAATTCCATTGTAGGAATGGTATTCCTGGGTGTAAGAGGAAAATATATTGGTCTATGAATGATCAACAATAATCTGTTAAACATCTGGAGAAAAAGACAAATCAGATACAGTCTGACTGTCAATACTCATTACCTGTTCCACTTGAAATACTTCACGTCTTGAAAAAGAGGTTAAACTAGTGATCTTAAATTAAAGTTGAGGTAAATGCAGGCGCCACTTCTTTCACACTTATTTGTACCTATTTTGAATCTGGCTGGAGAGGTATTTCTAGGGTGGAATAATTTATCTCCTCAGATAACTTTTGATTTTTGACCATTCACTCCTTTTTTTAAATTTCCGTTGTAATTACGTATGAAACATTGACAAGTTTGGCCATTCGCATTAAAAGAAAAAAGAAAAAAGAGAACAAAAAAGAGATAACAAATAGATTATTCCCTTTTCTGGAATAATGCCTTATGGGGCTTGATGTGGGATATACGTAGGAAAACAGATAGGAATTAACTAAGTATAAATGAATACTGGCAAGATCCCTCATCTATCATCACTTTGGAAGTTCAGCATATGGTGATTCAGTCACAAAGCGCAGTTTTTCAAGCCAAAATTATTGGCATCAGATACGTATCAGTTGCGATGAGGCAGACATTCATATTTCAAGTTATTATTTTAATCCCAAGTGAAGTAACTCCTTATTTGAAGTTTTGAATTCCTGTCTTTGCTGTTGCAATGGAAAATCTTGTGACAGAAAAACCTAGCTAGTTTCTGTAGACAAGAGAGTAGCTGCAGAGTCTCACTTCAGGCTGAAACTTGATTATTCACAACATTGTCATCATGTGGTAAAATTTAGGTTGAAGGTAGACAAGAAAATCTTTTAGACTATGTAGACCTCAATATCAAGTCTTGTTTGTATTGGCATCTATCCTTGTGCTGGAACACTCACCAGATGAAAATCATGAACTGAGTGAAGCCATTTCCTCTAAAATCTGAATCTTAAAAAAAAAAGTTGCAGCAGTGGAACAAGATGAGAAGAGTCACGTATTTATTTTCCACATTCACACTTGCTAATTGGGAGCTTGGTAAAGTCTCTCTTCTTTGTGAATAAGCTCCATTCCAGAAAAGGGAGTCACAGGATGATTCAAGTATGACTGAGTCACAGTAACTTGCTTAAAAAAAAGTAGCAATCATGTTTACATAATTTTATAATGTAATTAAAACTGAGGTGTTTGTTTTTAGCTTAAGGTGAAAAAGAGAGAAATTAATGCATTCTTACCTTAAAAGGCAAAACCTCCACTGTTGTATTTAGCAATATATCTCCAGGATGCTCTGGATTGCCACTATGAAACAGGTATCTATAAAGGAAAAAGGTTGCACATTAGCCAGTGTTGGCTAAATAAGTAACATGAATCAATATTACAAGTTACACTGGCAGATGATCCCGGGTAAACTGTAGAGACCAGATGAAGTATAGTTTCATTTACTGCCATATCTGAATGTGCTACGTCAGTGAAAAACATTGGTTGACTGGTTGTTTTGTTTTGTTTTGTTTTGTTTTCTAAGGGTGTTTTTACATGTGCTCTGAGGGTAGAGGGGGCGCTTTAATTAGAGGGGCTCTCTAATTTACAGATTTATTATTTTCATTGATGAAAACACCATTTTAAAAAACAAAATGCAATTAACAAATGAAACGAGATCAAACAGACTACACTCCTAGAAAAATAAATAATTATTAATAATATTTAATGAGCATACTTGTCCATTGTTGCCCTAATATAACTTCTAAATTTATCAGTAATGTGCATTTCTTGTTCTTCATTACAGTCGAGGTCTGGGAACGTATCCCTGTTTGTTACATTGTAAAGTGGGATCCCTTTATGCAAATTAGAGTTATGCGTCATTTTCCAGGAACACATGCATAGCATAAAGTGAGGGAAACCTGTATTTTAAAGATATGACGACTCCTGATAATGGGCACATTTAAAACAGGCTTGAACATGTGAGAGATCTCATGAGTAATGAAAAACAAGATATGCACATTACTGATAAATTTAGAAGAAGTTACATTAGGGCAACAATGGACAAATATTCTCATTAATTAAATATTATTAATAATTATTATTTTTCTAGGAGTGTAGTCTGTTTGATCTCTCGTTTAATTTGTTAACTGCATTTTGTTTTTTAAAACGGTGTTTTCATCAATGAAAATAATAAATCTGTATGATATATGTTAGGAGTAACCAATAAGAATTTAATTCAGAGTTATGGAGGAATTCCGACCTCTCCGAGGTTCCTGATATCACCTGAATGTTGGCTTCTATTCTGTTGAAAAATATGCTGCAAAAATTAATATGCATCTGACATATGACATGTATATGCATACTGTCATTATTCCCCTGCAACAGTGGCATAAATCCAGATTAACTTAATTCAATGAAACGCTTTATTAAAGGTATCAGTATGACTGAAGGCACCATTTTGGTCAAAATGACATTAGAAGATTACTAAAGTTGTCAAATAGCAGAGCAGCTCAAAATTCAGCTTTCAATACCTAAGGATAAGGAAATATCCTGAAAAGACCTCTCATAATGTGCTTCTGGAGGTACTCAGTGATATGTTCCAGTATAACAACTCCTAAATAACTGTAAATTGCTTTCTGTTCATTTAAAACTTCATATTCATTTTAACATTTTTTTTGCACACTGTGAATGGGTAATACCAGCATCTTGCCACTCAGTGGTGTCCATCCTTGGGAATTTTTTAAGGCCATGTATTTCACTAACATAATGAAGACTAGTTTCCTAAGGTTAACATCTGTGAAACTACTCCCGAAATACCATCTAAATACATTTACTTTAAATGTTACACATATTTTTACATATTAATTTAAATGCATTACAATTGAAGGCCCTTACTTCAACTAGAATTCAAGTAACAGTATGTACCGTCTAACACATTATATACATCACCAGCTGTTGTTAAAATTAGTTCAAGCATTATCACTTAACTGAAAATACAAAAAAAGCTTCATTTGCAAGTATTAAGACACCATCCAAGATGCATACTCCATGCTGTCTTTGCTCAGTAAAACTAGTTGCCACTAATCTACATTATCGTTACCTAAAAAAAGGTATTTATTTTCTCTAATCAATGTTCTTATAAAAATCATCACTGAAAGGAAATGGAAGAGAAAACAGGACTCTCTGGCCCTGATTCAGGAAAGCATTTCTACTCGGGCCAGAAAGTACATGCTTAAACTTTGAACACCTACTTAAGCATTTTTGCAAATAAGGAAATTCTTTAACATTGTGGTGATATACTACAATAAAACACTTGAAATTGTTTCTTCAATCAGGGCTCTTCAAGAGACAGAGCCAAAGCCTCCTCTCAGAGGAAGATACATGCATATAAAGTCTATTCACTTCAGTGACAGATGCTGATTTAAATTAAGAACGGCATGGGAATTTAATGGCATATATTAACTTCAATGGGAACCAAATGCAAATATCAGAATAGAATCTCATTCAGAGATCTTGGCAATGTTATCTTAAAAAAAAGGTTGTTGCACAAACAGCTTAATACACACAGTTCCTTCTTACTGAAGTTAAAAGGGAGCTTTCCCTGAGTAATGACTGAAGAACCAATCTAGTAGCCCTTTTCCAAACTTTTATGACAGTTTGGAAAAAAGAGAATGTACATGTTCTTATGTTTAAGAAAAAGTCTTAACTCTCAGTCTCAGGAATAAGCAACCCAAACTCAGAACAAAGCATCCCAGACAGCATGTTTCTAACTAAATATTTATACCTAGTTGTGCTACCTTATGCATGCTTAACACTTCAAACCTCCCTTGCAGCTTCACTGTTACACCAGAGATACAGACCCTTCCCTTACCAAACTCACTCTAATTTTCCTCCACCAAGGAAAGTCTCTACAAATGCAAGGGCACAAAACACCTTTACCCAGAAGCAACGGTAGAGCTTTCCTTCAGCACCTTCTAATTCACTACATTCTGTGGTGAGAATTGTCCAAGAAAAAACTACAAGCACAGCAAAATACCTTTCCTGCTGCTTTATTAATATTTTGACACTAGGAGGTGACTTCTTTATTTCCAATAGCCATCACTGTACTGGGGCAACACACACAAGTGACAGCATGACTTATGGAAGTGATTAGTCTAAATGCACTACCATGCTTCCTTCCATCCAGAATTGTCCTTTCCACAATATATAGTGTATCCATATATTACACACAGAGCCATCCCTTGGGGGGGGGGGGGGGGGG